AGTCTGAAGTTTTGAAAACTTTGTAATGGTCTCCCTAAATTTTCTGACATGAGTTTTTATCTAATGGTGTCCATGTTACCTTGGCACAGTATTCTTATCAGAATTGTTAGTGAAGGATTCATGTAATGGTAAGGAAGGATATTTGCCCTGTGTCACATAACTGGCACAAAAGGCCTTCCTTACCATGTTTATTTCTTAAATTAAATTACATGTTACAGGCAAATACTTGTAATTGTAGCCTGAATGCCCTTTTTAAAAATTCAGTTTGGAGAAGGGGGTGAAAGTAGAGGGCTTCATCCATTACTTTTCCACTCTAGATTGCTCTCCACAATGATTCTCCACCTTAGAGCAAAATTCAGAGCATTTGCTTGCGTGGAGAATGCCTCTAATGCCTGTGTATAGAGGGACGGGGAACAAACTAATAAAAAAATGATAAGCTTAGAAAAAGGTAACAACCTCTATCTCCTCCCTCCTTTTCTGCTTTAAATGCCTTCTTGTCTGTATTTTTACGAAGCAACTATTCTAGTATAGGAATTAGCATGTACCCCAGGCTTCCCAAATGGGTAGACTATAGGACTGTCAGGCTACAATTCCCATCATCTTCATCACTGTGCTGGGAAGGATGAAGATGATAGTCCAACACACCTGCAGGTCAACCAGTTCAAAAGGGCTTATATAACATGGATTTGAACCACAGTGTTTCTCCTATCAGTGCCTTGTCTGCAGGTGGACTGTGTTGAATTTCTGGTTGATTAATTCTCAGCTTCTCAGGAAGAGCTACAACCTTGCCAGAGCTATGAATTCTCAGTAGCAAAGAGCAAAGCTGCTCTTATGATGGTGGTGGAGTGGGGTCTGCTTTTTGTCAGTAGACGAAACCTGTGCAAACTTTCTAGCTCAGGTTACTGGTTCAAAGCAAGGCAGAGGACTGGCCAGGTGTCCATTTGCTTGGAAGTGGCTTACATTCTCACCTCTGGGTGCCTGAATTCTGAAAAAGAAAGCAGAAGGAATCCTATGTATTTGCTTTATTTTCTCATTTACAAGACTCCAGATGGATTAGACATGATAATTTAAAACCACTGGATGCATCACAGTAACCTAAAACCATTGTTTTTGTGAATTAGGCAGTGGTAGAGTAGAAATAGGTAGAGATGAATTATAGAATGCATGTGTAATCTGCTTTCACTTTAACAAAAAGTTCATGAGGATTCCAGGCTCTTTATTATGTCACCGTGTTTCTTTCAGGCAGGCTTTCCTGGAACTCTCGCGAGCCATAAACAAATACTGCTTTAAAAAGTATTTTCAGCTTCTGCAGTAGCATTGTCCCACCAGGAGAATGGTGTTGGAATCCAAGCATTCCAAGAACAAATGTTAAGGGAAATCCTTGCAGGCAAATCCGTTCACAGGACAGTTCTGCAATGATCTTTCTGGGTCTGAGGAGAAGTCACATTTGTTACAGTCATTGTTCTGATGGTGAATGCCAACTTCAATAGAATTAAAACAGGGCCAGTGAGGGAGGGAACAGCCAGTTCAGATGTACACCATGGATTCCAGTATCTTAAGGGGAAAACACACATACACAAGGAACATCCTCCCCTTAAAACAAAACAAAACTGTCCGCTAAGGAACAAGCCCTTTCAACAGTGCTGACATCAGTTGGCAGACAAGGGAGGATGATGGTGGAATGTCCTCCTTGAGCCTCATAACACTGAAGGCAAACTTGGTTTGAACCAAGCAACAACCCCTGCAGATTGAAGCATGGAGGAGCTTTTTCCTCTTTGTACCTCATTTTGAGGCTTAATCACAGCATGTTCTGATTTTAAGCTGAAACAGAGTATTTAAATGTACATTAAAAAAAAACTGGATTGTGTTCTCTGGGTGCATCCCCAATGCCCCCACTCATCTTTGAGGTCTGTTTAATGTAGAGCATTCTACATAAATGGAAATGAACACAATAGAAACCCCATCAGACCTTGCCGGTCAGCTTAGGAAGGTCAAAGATTAGGAGGACTTTCCCTTTTGCTTGTGTTTAATTTCCATTTAGGTAGAACCTTCAGACTGGAGAGTCAGTCAGGGCAGAAAAGATCCCATGCCTTTTGCTGGAGAAGGGGAATCACACTGGCTCAAAGGCACACATGCCCTCCTCCTGACACTGAAAAACTGCCTTTAGCTCTCTTGTTCTGCATTTGGACTGGGGAGGCATGGATTCCCAGAAAACAACATCTTCTCCATCCTTCCATTGACCGCTTGGGCAGAATTTATCTAGGCGCATTGGCCCACCTCCCCATGTTATCATTGGGGATTCAATTTGCTGAGGTGTAGGGGGGGTGTATTGCCTACTGCACTTTTCCCTCCAGCGAAATCAAGCCCTGGCCGTGTCTACTGTATATTGGTTGCATTCTCTGCCAGTCCTATAAGGTAGACCAGACTAATAAACCAATGCCATGTACTGTAGATCAGGACTACTTTTATTGTAACAGCAATAAAATAATAATATTGTAAGCAAATCTTGCAAGTCTGAATGGTTTTCTCCTCCCTCCCTTATCTTTATGTGAACTAGGGAGGTGCTGGTCTGAGATGTTTGCTCAAGTTACATTCTTGAGTCAGGCTCAGGCCCCTCTCATCTGACCATTGCCTTGGCAGCAACTCTTCCTCCCATCCTGCAAGGCCATTCCCTATGTCCTCTATACCCTTCCAGACACATGCTCTTCTTTTCACTCACACAAGACAAAGTTCCACACCCATGTATATACTTCACCCCTCTTCTCCCAACACTCCCTCCGTCATATACTTGACTTCTACATCCTCTCTCCACATGTACACACAACACGTAGCAGAGCCAACAGCATGCTTTATTGTATATTTATCACTTTTCCATAGACTTACTTTTCTGGAATGGCTGTAGCTTATACTCACCTAACTGTCTGATTGACAGCTTTGGTTTGAAATGTGGGGGAGTAGCTTCTAGTCTTATGACACTGTACTTTGGGTGGAAATAAAGGGTATGCTTTCTCCCTTCAAGTAAGGACAGCAGCAGCAGCAGTCCTGCCCCACTCCCCACCCCCAAAACAGCTCAATATGTAACGGCCTTAGCTTTTCAGGGCCACTCCCATCTCTGCTATTATGGTTTATGGAGTTCTTGAGAACATGCAATAAGCCAAGAACTTATGCTGAAGAAGAGGCTCCTGATGCTGGAAGAAATATGCTAAAGTAAGAGTGAAAAAGTAACTACTCTTTCCTGAAGATTTCTTGGAAATAACATGAAAGTGGCTGGATATTTCCTTCTTCTGGGATAGGCTTCTAGATTTCCCAATCAAGGTGACTACCCTGGCTTGTTTCTGGTGGTCTCCCTTCGAAGTACTAACCAGGTCTGACCTTGCTTAGCTGTTTTCAAGATCAGTCAAGGTCAGGTAGATGATGCCACATAAAAAGAAGGCACTGTATTATCTCCCCTCTCTTTCAGCTTAAGCCATGGTGGAAACTACTATCAAAATTATGTATCACAAGAATTTCATATTAAATATAACCCCTGTGTCCTTAAAAATCTGGGGTTTCTTCATTAGCTTTGTGGCCTCATTTATGCCACATTTTAGTGTTGGACTTTTATGGGATTTATAATTCAACATATTTGCAGTGTATCAAATCGGGAAGGTTGGTATATGCAAGCACCCCATCTTTTATAGGATCATTCAAAGGTCAGAAGAGAACCTGTGGGCAAGAGTCATGAATGGAGCCAATGGTCCTTGCCTGACTCATTCAAATCTTGGCTTCTGTTAAATGCAAATGTTTGTTTGGGAATTCTTGCCATGTTTGAAAAGAACAAACATTGATCTGAGCCACATTTTTCTCTATACTAAAGTTTGTTAAGGAAGGACAAGTGACATAATTAGTTGTATTTCTTAAATTAGGGATAGCATTCAAGTCTTCAGCAGATAACAAATAAGGATTTGCATGTAAAATATATGAATAATCCAGCATTAAGACCAGACTTTTCCTATAATCTCAACAATTAAAAAACCCTTTCCTGTTCATGCACTTCACATGTGTAACACTGAATAATTAAGTTATGTAACAACAAATGACATAATCTCGTTCTCCAAACTTGTAAGGTCTCCTAGTTATTGTTATTTAAAGAAAACCCATGTATGCACCAAAACCTAAAAAAACCCCTTCTCCAAACTTGTAAGGTCTCCTAGTTATTGTTATTTAAAGAAAACCCATGTATGCACCAAAACCTAAAAAAACCCCTTCTCCAAACTTGTAAGGTCTCCTAGTTATTGTTATTTAAAGAAAACCCATGTATGCACCAAAACCTAAAAAAACCCCAAAAGTTATTTTCTGTAGACCAGTTAGTTCAGCTAAGAATGCC